CTTGCACGACCGACGAGTCGTCTATTAAACCGTGCTATATATTTTGCATTAATTTAAATTCGCATCCGTCGATTTTTCCATAGAGGTGGATCTATGTAGCGACCCATGCCGCATATTCAAAATTTCCGACGAGGCCGTTTGGTCGCGAATTAATTTCTCACCGCGGCGTATTTAATTACTTTCGAAAACGCCGGCGAGCATGCGTCGGCGTAAAAAAGAATTCCACTGATATTTTGCAATTTCGTAAAATGAACAATTATACCCGCGCCAGAACCGTGCCAAAAAAAGGGGGCAAAAATGGAGAATTTAATTTCGTACAACCGGCGTAAAACACGAAACTGACCAATTTTATTAAATATACATAAACCTGGTGCATCAGCTAAAAAGATAAAAGAGGGACGAGACTAATCCTCGTGCATTAAAAATATTTCATTAAAATACACGAGTCTAAATGTACACCTAAGCCTCTGTGACATACGCAACGCTAATTTAATAATCACGGGTAACCGAAAGAAATGCACGCGACTGTGGGCAAATAAATTAATTAATTAACCAAGTAAATAAAAAAAAAAATAAAAAAATAAAAAGGAATGGGGAATGAAATAACGAAACGAGTTCACGAGTTGACGAATTTCAAACGGCACGACATTGGTAATTTTTCACCCCCCTCTGGGCTATCGCTCTAATTGACCAACTTCTTTCCAACGACCCTCGAAATGGCCCGCGAAACCAATAATAACTCGGTTCCAAACGCAAGGGGTTAACAATACGGAAGGGAAAAGGAAAAAGTAAGTTCGTAAACTTCTAGCTCGCTTTTAGGCAAAAACAGTGTCCCGCGGCTAAGTTGGAAAAGTTATTCGCGTGACGAGAAGAAATTACTCCCATATCCCTACGCAAACAGCTAATCTGAACTGCAAAGCGGCGATCTGGCTACGAACTTTCCACCAAACGACCGGTTAATTGAGTTGTACCCTCGCGCTAGGGAAAAACTTTATCGGGAGCAGTTCGCGGTTGATCCAACGGAGCAGTTTCAACCTGCTGCTATGTATCAGCGTGTGTGGCTGTTACACTATCGGCCAAAAGTACGAGACAGAGTGCCACACCGCAGGTGTGAAACGTCGCTTTACGCAGATTTCGATGACACGATTTTTAATTGCGCTAAGAAACGAGGCAATTTTATTGGAAAAATCGAAAAATCGATGCACCTGTTACTAAATTATTGTAAAAAAATAAATTATCCATGAAAGAATTATGGTACATAGTTGACAATTTCAAACGTGAAATATTGCATAATTCCATTGACATATTCTGCTCCAAAAAGGAATTTATTTAAAAGATATGAACTATTTATTAACCCTTTGCACTCGAGGGGCGCCCTTCAGACGCCATTTGATCAAATTTCGAAGCTCGATATTAATTAATATATGAAATTTAAAATAATGTAACAGTGTGCGAGGTATCGAAATTAAATAATTCTACGTGTCAATTATTATACGATTTCTTATCTACTGCTTAAAAAATATTGTCAGTTTTGTAGCAGAAAATTTTTCAACTCGTACCCTTCTTTAACCAAAAATAAAGTCGAGCGCAGAGGGTTAACATCGAAATTAAATAATTCTACGTGTGAATTATTATACGATTTCTTATTTACTGCTTAAAAAATATTGTCAGTTTTATAGCAGAAAATTTTTCAACTCGTACCCTTCTTTAACCAAAAATAAAGTCGAGCGCAGAGGGTTAAACTATTTATTAAAATGTATAATCGATAATTTTAATTTTGAAACATTTTATAACGCTACTCGTGTTTCTTGCTTGAGAAACTCGAATTTTTGTGACGAACGTGTGTATAATACGCTATATTAGAAATTGCAGGAAGTACTAATCTTAAGGAACACCAAAATCATCTCCGCCATTATAAAACTGCTATAGCTGTTAGCTGCTTTTAATGGAGGTGCAGCTTAATTGCCGCAGATTTAATCATGATTACACGGTCTCGTACCTTTGGCTGGTAACTGGTAACCGCATCTAGTGATGGGACCATTAAAATAGCTATCGAAAATTGAGTAATAACACGGGTGGAAACAAATAGCTAATATAAAGAGATATAAAGTTCCGGGGTATTATGAACCTTGGTAATATAAAACTGTTAATCTTGGTATGTTAACTAATTAAAGTATTATACTCTATTTCTGACAAAGTATACTCTACACTTAGAATTCTATCCAATTTTTCCAAATGCTTTCATTTAAATACCAAAAACTAATTTAGCTTAAATATCTTATGATCAGAATTAACATAAATATTCTCATAAATATAAAATTACGCAATGAGTCTTCAAAAATTAATAAAAATTGTGAATCTACAAAGTACCACTATCCTGTAACTATACATTATACATGTATTATACAATGAATCAAGATTGCATTACCAAGAATAATATAAACTATGATAAGGAAATATTGCTTAATTTTTCATCTCAGTCTACACTTCTACAAAATTTCCTATCTACGTTCGATTTTCCTTATTTTTCCAAGACGTTTTACATAAAATTCGAACGCAATTATTTAAATGCTCCCTCAGACTTTACGATGTTACTCGCGATACGCTTGATCCCATCACTAGACACGTCGTCACACGTTAAACCGCTGGCTGCTCGACATTTAACGTCGAGAGGACGTCACGCAAGGCGAACCGAGCTTCTGGAAGCTTGCGTGGAAATTAACGCGTCACGACTTCATCGGGTTTGATAGGATGTGCACCTAAATCCTGGAGCGAGGCCGTCGACCAGAGTTAAAGCTCGTCTACAAACACCATTCGCAGTTAACGACGTGTCAGATCAAGCGCAAAACTCTGTTTTCGACTTTCATTACGAGCCAGTGTCGTGATCCATTTTGAACGTGGTACTAACCATGAAACTACGAATAAACACCGAGTTTTATGAGATCCTCCTTGTCCGAGTCATCGGTATTCAACGTCAAATACAATTACAAGTAGTAACTTCTTAATAATCATAGCTAGCTCATGAGACAATTTCATAAATTTCTATTGCAGAAACATTTTTGCAGATTTAACAAAATTAAAAAATCTCATACTTCTACCTATACATGATTGATCATGGAATTCTTGAGAATTTAAATACACTCTATATGTACATAAATAATTAAATTAAATAAATACTTAATTTAAGTACAATGTATATGTTATATAACTAGTAATACACTAACCATGAACACAAAATTTAAAAAATTATATATATAAACTGAAATGTATATAAATTCTTTTGACAATCCAAAAGATCACAGAATCTCATAAAACCAAGTGAAGATGATTGAAGCAACTTCCAGAAGCTAGAGGGTGGTAAAATAAACTTGAAAAGAATTCTCAGAGGTATCCTGATGTGGTTCGTAGCCTGACACGCGTTTGCTCTACTCCTGTCTTCCTCTCAAAGCTCACAAAACACTGCGACTTATCGAAAAGCAACGTTAGTGAAGCTGCAAAGTAAACAACAGCGGTTAGAATTTGCCGGAAGTAAAACGCGCAGCATCAAGTGCTGATCGACCACCGCTTAAGGGTGTAGCTACCTTTCATTGAATCAAGGCAGATTTCCTGTGGTTCATGTTAAAGAATCGGAACTGTAGCCGCAGCGTTAGGTCTTTCCGTACTGTTGGGAAAGAATAGAGGTGTCGTAAGTATACATCGCAGCTCTGACTCGTAGAGTCTCACATCGGTGGGTGGTAAAATCGTTTACATTACGGAATGAACCATTCCCTATGGCGACAGAGGAATCGAAACGATCTGGATCCTCTCTTCTTCGTTATCGATATGAAAATGCGTGAATTTCTCTTTGCGAGCGATTAACCAATCGTTTCGAGATCTCTGGCCAGTCAAGATAGGCGTGGCACGCCATCGTAATCCTTTCAGCTCATCGTGATCACTGTAATCGTCGAGCAACCTAAACGTATGTGACGAGCATCTACGCGACAATGAAACGATAAATTGCGAAATAGGGTGCGGACCATTGATGTGCTTCGACGTGGGGACTCCGCCTGGAAATATAATCCGAGATATGTGTACTTATCGTGTCAATTTGTCACCGCTTATGAAATGTTCGTGTTCGAATAGACTGGCCTACTCCACTTTGTGTAACTTTTCCTAATGATTCTTTGTCCATTGCTCAAAGCCGATGCGTGCAACAAATTGAGATGAAGGAGGGGATAATGCGAGCAACTTAAAATAAAATCGTGCAGTGGATGCATAAATGTTAATTATGGCATGAACATGAATGTGTGACTAGAGTTTTATTGCTACTAAAGCCAGCTTCATAAATGAATATAAGATTAGTGGTGTAATTATCCTGTGTTGCCTAACAGCTACTAGTATTGCAGGTTTATTAATGAGAGATTCTTATTATCTTCATTGCATTTCAGTTTCATAATTATTGTTATTATAAGTGATCGCAATTTAATGCCCTGATTATTATATATCATGATGTGTCAAGATTAATATTATATATCTACTGTTATAATACTGATAATATAATACTGATGATTTTAATAATAACACCATATTGTTATTTTCCTGACATCTTCATAATATCAAATATTTATTCAATACAGGTATTAAGTCTAATAACGAGCATAATCATTCTTAATTATCTTCTGTTAGTATTTCATCGTTAATAGTAATGACAGTATTCTTTCTTGTTCATACAAAGGATTGACAAATATGAATGTATCTTATTGACTAAAACAATTTTAAGAACAATCACTATTAGATGAAGATCTATTTATGAAAGAGATTAATTAAACCGGTACAAAATGCACTTAACAATAAAAACTCGCAGGCAAAGTATTTAATTCAAGTCTCATGGATATCATTTTACCTGGACATTCACTTACATTCGACAATTGTACAAGAATCAAGAAAATCAGGCACTAAAGACAAGTTTTTAAAACAGTATTCTGAAGACAGAAATCTTTCTTTGACAAATAACTACTCACTGCGCTAATCAGCGCTACGTTCCGTTTCTTAAGCCACCTACTGGGATAGTGAAACTTTTGGAAGGTTCACCGGCCTCTAGCTTAGCGCGTCGCACACGACAGACTAACAAAATAAACAACTTATTAAAATCCTTTAAATATTATTCCAACAATTTAAAGTAGGTAATAGGGGCGGGCTAAATTTCAGGCGAAATGCAAACGGTTCAGTACAGGCTTTCCACGTGTTTACGTTTATATATTTTCATCTATTTAAATAATTATAAGATGAATATGAGAATGGTGAAAATAAAAAGATAAAAAGCTTGCATTGGATCAGGCGAAAGGTGTATGGAATAAAAAGCATGCTGAGAGATGAACATAAGGCAAGATTTGGACCTAGAATAATTTACTGCTGAGCTAATGTCTTTGTTTTCAATTTATCGAATGTATATTCGAGATTAAATAAAGGTGTTTCCGCACAACTGGTGTGTTGTAAAATGATGTAACAGAACAAAAGTTATATTCGAGTATGTACTCTAAACTAACACCGGCATTAATCATGTTCTTTAGTAGATTAAACGAAGCGCAATTGCACAAAAGCATGAATCACGAATTGCATCTGTTTCGCTGCTGATTGATGTTAAATAAGCTGCATATAAGCAATAATGAAAAAGGAACGCGACTTAAACAGACTCATACCGAATCGAATGTTTATGCGCTTTAACCTTTGGTTCTGTATTTGGCTGAAAATTGAAAATACATCATATTTTACACTTGTAGATGAACGTTCTAGGTACAACATCTTTTTAGTAAGTGAAATGGAATTAAACTTTTAAAGTGACTATAATGAAAGGAATAATTAAGATGTATAAATTGTTAGAGATATGGAGAAATGTTGAGAACAAATGGGTACACTCTAGGGTCTCATAATTACCTCTATACCACTAGCTAGAAAAATAATAAATGAATTTAGCGGGATGAATGGATGAATGATGATGTGCTAATAAAGCGCTATGAAAGACTACGAAGCAGATTCGGAAGAGTTAGAAGCATTTCGTCATATGATCTCCATGGTCCCCCATACAATTGCTCCCATCTAAACGAAAAATTAACAATATGAATATCGCTACAGAATGAATAGAAAAAATGTGTTTCTTTAAAGTGTACGAATAATTGTTCGAATTTTCAAAAAGTACGATTCCAATGTGGCACATATCTCTGGATAACTAAATCATCTGTAAAAACCTTTTTCATTATAAACATATAATATTTCAGACATATGTACTGACATCACGTTGGGTCTAATATACCTGGAAAGAAAGATTAGTCGATCTATCTAATTAAACAATGATATCCCTGATGTAACTGCGAAGTTATATCAAGGATAGAAAGTCGATACTTGAGATACTTGAGATATAATTGATAAATGTTACTTAAATGATAAACTATATAAATTTATTTGAAGTACTAATTTCTATATACGGAAACGTCTATATAACTCGATAAAAAAAATAAAATTTTTTCTTATTTTATTTAATAATGTAAAATTTTCCATAGAATGATTAACCTCCGTGGAAAATTACTTTGGTACGCCCGAAATTAAAACTTTCATAAAAGAAGTATCTTCTATAAATAATTTCTTTCTACTTACTCCTGTCAATGTTGCGTTGTAAATGTGCAGCCACACGATGTCTAGCATCGTTGAACTCCAAATGAAGACCAAGTCGGAGCAATGTCGGATTTTGCTCTACCAATTGTGTAATTTCCATTTCAATTTTATTTCCCAATACCTGTGACCTCTATGGATTAAATATAAAAACACGATATGTTAAGAACTACAAAAATTATATTACATTCAATAAGTGAATAATCATGAACATAATTAACCATAAAAATATAAAATTTTCTAATTATATTTTACCTGATTCGAACATCGAAATTCTTCCATTGACTTCGTTTTAAGGAGTGCTCTGATGAGCCTCACTATCACAGATGGGCTTATAAAGTTTGTTTCCACACTAAAAAATTGTAATTTCAGTACATTATATTTAATAAAAATTACTGCTACGATGTAAATTAGATACAAGGTATTATACTAACTTGAGTACTCTGAGCGTAGAATTTTTCTCTAAGGCCTCTGCCAACCTTTGTGCAGTCTTATCAGTGAGTCCCACATTTGTTAAACTTAAGGATTCAAGATGTGTATTTATCTCAAGTCCTTCGAATAGTTGAATAAACTTCTCGTCAGATATATTCTGAAATAATACAAATCAACATTAAATAACACTATAATAAACACGTATCTTTCTGCAACTGTGAGATAAGTTTCATATACCTACTTTAATATTGTTCCAATTTAAATCAATTAGCGAAACATCGTCCTCTCGAACTTGTTTGATAGTGGCATCAACATCTGTATCATTAGGTGGTTCCATTGGGTAAGGTTTTGGTTGACTAGCTTTCGTTACACCATCCCAACCCAAACCAACGGGTTGGCCAGAATTTAACAGAGAAGCATGGTATTGATCTTGATTCATCATAGAATGAAATCCAAGGATAGCTATGTGCAAAAAGATTATATTAGATATTACAATGAATGCTCTAACTAAAAAGTATATCATTATATAATAGGTGAAATTTATACTTACCAGCAAGATCAATAATTTCTTCTTGAGTAGCATTAGATAAAGCTTGCTCATATTCTTCTCCAAGATCAATGGCAATCTGCTCTTCTGCTTCTTTTTCTTTTGCAGTTTCTTGAGGAGGTGGAACCCACTAGAAATATGTAACAAAGGTACATGTATATTAATGCTGAAGATCTTAAACGTGTTAAGGATAAACTACGTAATTTAAGATAATACCTTTTTGCCTCGTATGACACCAGGTACATAAGGCTTTAATTCAGGTTTGTCTGGTGTTTCCAAAGCTTGTTTATTGATGTGTTCAATAAGCTTCTTACGATTCAGTGGTCCTGTAGGACTCTTGTCACATTCATAGCTACAACGTTGTGATGGTGGCATGAAACTGTCCTATAAAAATAATGACATACATTTACATCAATTGTTACATATCATATTTGACAAAGACACATTAATAATAATTTTCTTACATCAGGATCCACTTCTTTAGCTAATATATTAATTTCTTCTGGGGTAAGTTGTGCCAATAATTCATCCACATCCACATCATCGTATTCACTCAAATCCTTGCCATATAGCTTTGCAGCAGTTGTCATAGTGGTTGTTTTGGTCGAAGAAGAAGTCTGGAAAGTTTCCCATGGTTCTTGGTCAACTACAGAGTATCTTCGTGACATTTTATTAGCAAGATTATTAGTTCAACAATCTGATATTACAAGACTGACTCTACTACTATTAATCTATATTAATTTCCTAACACATTTGCATTATAAGACAACACTATCTACTATAAAACACAGTATTCCTTTATGCATATGCAAAATTACATAAATTTATCCTATAATTTTTACAATATTTTATTAACAAATAGGTTTCACACTCCTTAAATGTGCATAAATAGATACGCGTGAAATTCACTGAGCAATTAAAACAAGTGAATGACAAAAATATGTTCAATGTATGATCACAAAACTGAACCAAGAACAACGAATATTTTTGCGATTGTAATATCAGCGGTAAAGTATTTCGTCACGAAACACGTTCATCACTACGCCTAGGAGTACACGCAGGCAATGTTCCTGATCGAACGATCAGCAAATCGACAAGTTGCATTTAAATTCGGCAACTGTCCAATGCGGCTGATGCCCTTTGCCCCAGATAATTCGGGATCGATTTTCATTGACAACTCATCTGCCAAATCGACAACCCACGCTAAACGGAGATTCGCGATCGTCTTTGAAATATTATCATCTAAACAAGAATGAAACTTACTACTGACAAATCTTCCGCAACAATGGGTTATACCAATAACAATCAGCGGCTGATTGCGGCAGCGCCCTTTGACGCTTATACCATATTTGAACAAAGAGCAAGTGGAATGGGAGGTTGGTCCGAAGTATCTTTCGCAATTATTAAAACAGATTTCCAAATGTTTCCTCGATACAGGATGATTTTTAAAATGCAAGGAATATTTATTTAATTTTACGAATTATTTATATTAACAAAAATATTTTCATTCAATTATCACTTTAAGCCGTTTGACATCAACCTTGCAGAGTATTAGTTTGAATGAAGTATACGAGATGCTAGCCCATGGAGAAAGTTTCTGCGCGTCTAGCGTCGCGCAGGTATTGACGTTGTGTAGCGCCCGTGGCGGTTGTTTCAAAACACATCCATATACGTACAAGATTCGCAAGTTGCGACAAGTTGAACAAACAATTACCATTTTCGTTTCAACTTCAATTTATTCGATACTTTCCAAACTAACTGACAATGTTAAACTCTTCCACATAAATAAATCCATGTTGCATACCAAATCGGCGAAACAAAATTAACCGAACACGTAATAATATATGATAATCCACATCATCGAGGTATTACTCATTTTGCCAACCAATATTATTACTCATCTACATAAAACTATAGTTTCGAGCCTTGTAAAAATAAACTGACTATACAACGAAAGCTACCGGTAAGCTAATAAGGCGTGAAATAATCGACAACAATGATACAATTATGACACATCGTGACACGGATAACCTTATTTTTCGATGGAAACACGCCCAATGCGTAATCGAAAGAAATTTCACGGAACACGTGGACCTTCCAGCGAATCGCATCGCGATAATTAACACGATAAATCAATTCTGCCCAAGGTCGCGCAAAGACCGGTAATCGGCGTGCACGTTAAGAGTGGGGAAATTCTGTATGCAAAGTGGGAGCGCGTTGCGCAGGCTCGTGGTTCGTGGTCGGAAAAGATAGAACGGCCATCTCTGTCGTTCCTCGGCCGTGCAGTTTTGATTAGAGAGCGTCTATCGCGCGTTGTAGCGCTCGTAGCGGCGACAGCCTCAAAAATAGCTGAGGCCTCCTCGCAGGCTGGCACACTCCCAACGGTCTATACTTGGACATCCCCGCGCCATGATTATTTATAGTGAGCGCGAGCGCGGCCACTGGCCTTCCCGCGAACTAACTAGCCGCCTCCAAAGACGATCCGTCGCCCGTGACCTAGGCCCGCATTAATAACGATTACACCCCTGCGCTCGGCAAGACGGCAACTTAATCTCTCGCACTGCTTCTACAACGAATACGTAAAATTCCTGCAATTCTACGATCTACAAATTATTAATACGAATATAAAGAACTGAATGTTCTCTACGTTTAAATCGATGAATGCCAATTCACACTGAAGGAATAACATCTAGAATTTCCAGCACTGCGAACATGTACGTAGATGTCGCTGCACGCGTTACGCGTGCTTTCCTTTGCTACGTATATTTTATAACATCTACATATAAATTCCTGGAACTTGGAAAATATCAAAGTGTAACGTTAAGGTTAAAAAATGAATCTATTTTTAAGAACTCGCGAAAGATCACATAGAAACACGTCTCAAGTTGTAGTTAAATTATATTTCTCTAAATTTCGCTATTATTTTACAAATTTACGTGGCACGCAAAAGTTAGATGGAGTTAAATAATTTCTGCACGGGGAATGAAAAATTACGTTTCGTCTGAGGAAACGTAGAAATCTTAAATTCTCTAATCTGCATATTCATCAGCTTTCGCACTCCATCGCCGCTTCCCTATTTTCTCATACGCAATCCGGGTGTTATGCAATTTTCGAAGAGGATGCATACGATATGGAATTATTAGCACACTCTTT